GATTTTCTTTTGTCATTCTTGAGTTACTGTGAGATTATTATTTTTATTCACCATTATACGTTGGTATTTTAATTTATACCTTCCGCATTTGCGCATCTGAGCCCAACACATTTCCCCGTGCAAAATGATAATGAAAGAGAAATTTTGACCAAAGTAAGCCTAAGGATAAAAATTGGCTAGAACGTTAAAATGGTACCTTTACATACCCAAATGCTAGTTTTTATTATTTTGCAATAGGTAGGCATTTTCCATGGTTGTAGTAACATATGGCTATTTATGGCATGATTTGATATGAATGATCCAACTCAATCGGTTATAACCGACTGGGTCATTTCATATTCAATCACATAATTCAAAATCTAACTCAACCCAACTCTCATATTTTTTAAAAATATAATTAAATAATATCAATCAATCATTTTCACACATCACATAACTTTAATTCAACATTTATTGACTCACACAATTTTAACTACATATCACTTCCTACAATCTCTCTCTTACTTTTACATCACACAAAAACTTTAATTATTACATTTTAAACATTATTTAATTTTAAACCTGCTTTATTCAAATAACTCAATTTAATTCACCAGTTTGTATTGTAACTAGTTTACTCCATATCCAATTGCCCCTTTAGTGGTATTACCACCTGTCGTAATGCATATGTCCTGATTTAAAGCTAGTCACATTGATTGTCAAAATAACTAATAGGATCCGCAAACCACTTATGTTAAATTATTGTCAATCATGGTTATGAACTCTCTAATTGCCAAAGCTTTTCACAAGAGGAACTTTAGGACTCCATCAAATGTAACTACAAAAGGAGCGATTGGATATGAGTTCTAATCCAACTTAACTAATTATAATTGCTTGAGTCATTTTATATCCAATCACCTATCTCAAAATCCAATACAACCCAACTCTCGTACTTTTTATAAATCTAATTACATAATATCAATCAATCATTCATACAGATTGAATCAATTTTCATTCACTATTCATCCACTCACATAATTTTAACTATGTATCACTTCATATAATCTCTCTCCCGTTTTTACATCACTTTAACTTAAATCATTATATTTTAAATATTTTTTAATTTCAAAATTCAAAATCATTCACTCAATCTACTTTATTTAAAACTAGTGTTGCTACCCATGTGATGCACGGGATACAATATAAAAGATATTTTTATTAAATATTACTAAATTATTTAAGATAATATGACAATTCTATTCGACTAATAATATAATATTTATTCAAATATTTTATTTTTTATTTTTCTAATTTATATTTGTAGGTATGAATTTAATTAGTTATTAGTTTATAAAATGTTATAAGACTGTAAAATTTAATATATAATGACTGTATACCAATTACTTGCATGTACTTATGTAATCATCGATTATATTAATTTTATAATTTTTTAGCAATTTATATTTTGCATATTTCTCGATAACTGACCAACGTTTAATCTATAAAATTAATTTTTAGTTATAATAACTCTAATTGTATGAAATACTAACTTATGATAATTAACTTTTAATTTTTAGTAACTTTTATCTCTTGTGCAACACAAATTTTTCATGGTAAATATTTTATTTTTTATTTTAATATCTTTTGTATATATTTATGTATTTAATTCATTTAACTCAAAATATATAATAATTTAATTAATAAAAAATAATAATTTTATATTCCAATGACTATAAAATCTTATAATTTCAATTATTACCTGACTATATAATTTTATTTACTCATTGTTCTTTATAAAACGATATATAATAAAATTTTATTTTTTAACACCTGTGAATAGTGTTTTTGATGTATATAGATATTTTAATGTGAAATTTATAATTTTTAATTTTACCCGACCATAAAAATATGATTTATTAATATATATTCATTAGATTTTAGTTTATTCATGGTTAAGTTGACTACATTTTATAAAAGTTTATTAATATTTAAATTATTCATTAAGCTAATATAATTGAAACATAATTATTTTCATTATTTAATTATATATTTTAAGTGTTTTTGATTGATGATCATAATTCATATCTACAATTATGAGATGATAACAAAACTAATCAAAATACTTTTTATGAATATAATGAGAACTTTTTTTTTTAAATTATGTCAACAAAATTACTACGAAATTGGTATTATTGGTCATGTTCAAAATATATTTAATCAATCAATCATTCTATAAGTGTGTGTGTGTTTGTTTATATATTACTGTTGATTTTTTTTATATATATTTACCCAATCGTCAAAACAAAACTTGTACTAATACATTTATCTCTTTGGGTATATTATTAAAACAATTAATTTATCTTCACAAATCTTTGAGACCAAATTTTACTTCAAGCAATAATTAATTTAAATATTTTCAAAGGTGTACTAATACATTTATATCTTTGAATATATTATTAAGAAAATTAATTTATTTTCACGTATCTTTGAGATCAAATTTTAATTCAAACAATAATTGGTTTAAATCTTTTCAAATTCCTTAATGAACTAACCAATTTTGGTTTTATGTAATAAATGAATGTCTAATAGTAATTGCCAAATTTAGATGAAATATTTAGGCGGAAAAGTTTGTAACAAATATAGTAAAAATAGATTGGTCCATTATATAGATATAGATATAGATATAGATAGCTTACTTTAACTCATTTTAACTCATCAGGTTGGATCATAACTAGTTAGATTCATATCCAATCGCCCCCTAAGTACCCAACTTCATGGTCCATCCCCACATTTTCTTAATTGATTGTTATAGTGTTGATAATTCTATCTCTTTGTGTATAATTTTCGAAAATGTTGAGCCCAAACGACAGACTCGTATGTTTCGTAACCTGATATGGAATAAATTTTTATTTCGTATTGACTCATATACATGTTTGTTTTTTATAATTAGAATTGAGAATTACAATAAACTATTTTACCTTCCCTATTCTTAAATTACCTCATACAACTTTTTCTTTTCTTATCTGACTCAAATTAATTATTATAAATATTTATTCTTCTCATATTTAATAATTTATAACTTTTTTATTTGTATCTTATTTTTCATATATGATATAACAAATTAATCTTGCTTTAATATTTTTCGATTTGATATCCATATTGCATATGTAAAATAGTAAAAAGTAATTTCATCTATCTTTATACGTAAAACAAAATTTATTATCAAACCAAATTTAAAAAAAAAAAATCAAATATAATTATAATGTTTTTTAGTACTAAAAATCTAATTCATGAATACGCCATAAGACAACCATTTTACTATATTTTTCCTATAAATTTTGAAAAATGTAGAAACTAAGTATTACATAAAATAAATATTAAAATAATATTCTAACATCGTACTTCTCCACTCAAATAAAGCATATAAAGAATTGAATTAAATAAATTATGTAAAGAATTGAATGTTATTATGTTATCCAAGACAATAAATATATAACAGATATCACAATTATTAATTATAAAACTAGTGTTTATATTTCATAAGTTGGAAAATATTACATTTATACGTATTAATTTATATCTTAAATTATCAATTTAAAATACTTAAAAATTTACTAAACGAGAATATATTAAAACTTGAATTTTATTTTTATAAAATTCGAACAAATTTTTGGAGTTGGAAATAATATTTATTTTATATATATATATATAATGCAATAAATATAATTAAAATTATAAGTTTTGACATTGAGTGTAAAATGTTTGTGTCATTTTAAATAATGATCAATTTGGTAGTTCTTTCTTATCATCGTATATTCATTGGTCATAATTTAACAATCAAAATATGAATATTTTACTTTTTTTAATTGTACAAATATTAATAATTTTTAAGTATCTGTATAGTACACGGACATCACGCTGATATATTATAATGAGGATGAAATAGCTCGGCTAGAAGCTCATAAGTATCATAATAATCGCAACTACAACGGAAATGCAAATATACTTGTTTCAACAAAATAAATATATAATTCTCTCTCTGAGAGCGGCTCGATTCTCTCTCTGAGAGTAGACAATTTTCTTAGATCTTTGATCCTCGTGTGTGTTCTTCTTGCTGATTGGTGTGAGAGTGGCTCGGATATACAGAGGTTTTTTTCACTTTCCTATCGCTGTTAAAAACGCCCAAATTTCGGGACTTCTGGAATTAGGGTTCTTGACTCATGGCGGATATAGATGCTGAACTGGCTGGTCGCTTAAAGGAGTTCTCGCTTTCAGCCTCGGAAGCTACGGTGTTTGACATAGCTCAGGAAGACATCCGGCTCAGCGACGATGAATGTCAAAGGAGCCTTTTCGGCAAAATCATTGGTGAGTGGCCCGCCAGCTGGATAGGTATAAAAAGAACTATGTCACAAATTTGGAAGCTCCGACATCCAATGGAAGTTAAGGAACTGAGTCCAAATTACTTCCAATTCATCTTTCAGAATAGAGATGATATGAAAAAGGTAGCCAGTGGAAAAAGTTGGAGTTTCGAAAATCAGTATCTTATACTGCGAGAATGCTCTCCCCATATTAACAATAAACATCCTAGTTTTCAAGAGCTTAACTTATGGGTCCAGGTGCAGAATATTCCTCTTAATTGGCTAAGTATGGATGTGGGTCGAAAGAATGGTAAAGCTTTCAGAAATCTCAAGAATGTGGTAATTGCAACCACAGGTAACCATGGAGGTAAGCTTCTCAGGCTGCTGGTCACTTTGAATGTTGATGAACCCTTGCCCAGAGTTGCAAAAATTAGACTAGGTGACCAGATTGTAGATGCTTGCTTCAAGTATGAAAAACTTATAAATCTATGCCATTATTGTGGTAAGATTTGCCATCTTGACAGAGGCTACAATTCTAAAATGGAGGACCTTCGCAACAATGCTCTTAAGGAGGGTCAGTATGGGGAGTGGCACAAGGCTCCTGATGGCTATAAATGGACCCCAGTTACCTTGTCAGACTCCAGATCTTCTCTACCCCCAGAGTCACCTGGAGGCACAGAGGATGGAACATCTCATAAAGCATCATCAAGCCAACAAGGGAACAACCACCAATTAGTTCCAAGTCATGATGATCTAGAATCTCCATCCAAATCCATTGATGCCAATTCCTTGATCTCAGCTACAAAATCACCCATTGATGCCAATCCAGGAGAAGGTGCTAACACTGCTCATCTTCAAATGATTGAAACCTCAACTATGGATATGGAAAAAGAGGACACTCTAATGATTGTTGAGGCCACCCAAAACCACAAAGCCATTTTTGTTCCCAACACAAAACTTCCTAAAACTTGGAAAAGGACAGGCAGCAAACTGGGTAGATTGCAGAGAGCTGAGGATACACCAATCATCATTGATCAACTAATCAGAACCAAGAGAAGTAGAAATCAGCAAGAACCAACAGAGCCAACTGAGGAACCTCAACTAAAAGACCAGGTGCATTCCAAAGAACTCAAAGCTAAGGTGGGGGCTGCCAGCCTGGAATGGCACCACAGTGACAAATGTTAGCTGTGGTGTGGAATTATAGAGGGCTGGGTGGGCCCTCTACAATTTCCCAAATCAGAGAGCTTAATAGAGCTCATCACCCACATTTCATTTTCCTTTCTGAAACAAAAAAACCCAATGCTTTTGTTAAATCTGTATGTAATAAATTAGGTTTTTCTAATAGTTTTGCTATTGTTGATCCTTAAGCAAATTCATTGTAAAAACTTTGTCATTGTAGTAGAATTTTGTTTGCAACCCAACCATCCCCAATGGGAAGTTTTCGTGTATCTCAGCCCCTGCAGGTTGCTCAGAGAAGCACAAAGAGAAGAGCTGCTTGCTGATAGACAACAGTGGGGCAGTCACTGGTTCACTATAGGAGACTGGTGTTTGTTCCATTTTTGTTATCTTTTTCCTTATTGGTTCATAGGTTTTTAGCCCCTGATTTAGGTCTTTTGAGAGGATTTTCGATCTTGCAGTCGTTTATTTCGTGTCTTTGCTATTATTTCATTATTTTTGTATATTCATTGGTTTCCTTTATTTTTCGGGTGTTATTCTTGTTTTTGGAGGTGTGCAGGTTCGGATCTTTGACTAAGTGTTCGAAGTTTACCAAGTCGAGTTGTCCCGGTTTTACAAAGCTTACTAGCGCATGCGCGTTCGAGCCTTCCCGGTTGCCACGCCGCGGCGAATCTCGCTCTGCGGTACTTCACTCCTTTCACGCCGCGGAACACCTCGTGAGACCTTTCACGAGCCTTCAGAAGGTCTCCTTTCAGTCTCCACGCCGTGATAACTCCCGCGCCGCGCCACTCTCTTTACCCACGCCGCGGCACAACTCGCGGCGATCTTAACGGGTGGACAGAGAAGTTCAGCAGTCCCAGATGTCACGCCGCGGCGAGCCCCGCGCCGCGGCACTTCAGTCCCTTCACGCCGCTGCCATTCCCACGCAGCGCAACTCCCGGTCTCCACGCCGTGGCCACCATTCCGCGAGGTCCTTCACGCCGCCACATCAGCGCGTCGCGCCGCGGCAGGCGGCTTCGCGCCGCGCGCTTCATCTTTTAAAATTTATAATCTGTCCGCATTTAAGTAGGATGGGGGCGAGGGTTTGAGATTCATTCTGCACTTTTCGTTTTTCTCTCGTTTTATCAGACGAAAAACTTGTTCCTTTTATCTTTGCTTATTTTGAGATTTTTGGGAGTGACACCCAAGGATTTTGATCGTGAATTTGGATTGTGCTTGAGATTCAACACTTGACTTTTATTTATCGTAAGTTTTCTTCTCACTTTCATTATGAGTTTGGAGTATTTACTTTATACTATGTCTGGTGTTCATCTTGGCATGAGTGGCTAAATTCTTAAGCTAGGGATAGGGGGTGATTACTCGTACTCGTGTGCTTATCTTGCCTGTGAATTTCGTTCAACCTTTTCGAGTTGATTTAAACCTAGGGTTGGATGCTTGATCACCATTCTGATCTAATTAATCGACTTGTAGAACCGAAAGGGGAGAAGTCGGTCGATTCAGGCTCGACTAGAGTAGGCTTGTTCGTAATTGTATTGCCTACGTGTTAATTGATTGGTTTAATTTGCCGTCTATATTTTTCCTCTTGTTACGAGAAGTTATTGAGGAATAATTTCTAGATGTGTAGGTTGATTGAATCATTTAGCCGTACGATTTTCGCTTGGTGTTCGATTTTGGTTAGAGTATAATCATCCCCGATTCCCTAGCCTTCGTACGTAGAAGAAACTCGTTTCAAGTATTGATAATTATTTATTTGCATTGTTTGAGAATTAGAAGTTGATAATTAAAAACCAAAATCATTGAATTAGTGTGTTTAGGAATTTATTTTCTTTTTCGTGTGATTGAATATCCGTACAAATAATCCGGCTGACCTTCCTTGAGATACGACCCGGTGTTCGAATCTTTCGATTCTACTCCGGTAAAAATAACTACAACAACTGGAATGATCTCCTCTCTAACTCTGAAAAGATGGGAGGTATTCCAAGACATCAATCTTCTTTCCAAGGTTTCTGCAACTTCATCTCTGACATGGAAATGATTGAGATTAAACTTGAAGGCCACCCCTACACATGGAGCAATAACAGAGCCCAGCCAACCCTTGTTGAAGAAAAGTTAGACAGAGCTTTTGGCTCCTTGGACTGGGCTCACTCATATCCCAATGCTGGGATATCAAATGTTTTGAGAGCCTCTTCTGATCACACAGCCCTACTGTTAAATATGGGAGAGCCTAAGGTGAAGCAGAAATCCTGCTTTCATTTCAACAAAAGATGGATAGGCAAGGAGGGGTTTGAGGAAATTGTTCAAAAAGCTTGGTCAACAGTAACCACTGGGACTCCTTTCTATCAGCTGAAGGAAAAGGTGAAAAGAACAAGAATTGCACTGCTTATCTAGAGCTCCTCTTTCCAAACTCAGAACCAAAAAGAAATTGAGGACTTAACCAAGAAATTGGAGGATCTGAATGCTGACAAATCAGAGAAAAACTGGAAGGAAAATGGATAGAAAGCAGAAAGAAACTCAATAAGGCTCACTCCCAGGAAGAGCTGCATTGGCAGCAAAAAGCAAAACATAAATGGATCAAGGAAGGTGATGCCAACACCCGTTTCTTCCATTCCTTCACACTACAAAGGAGGAAACTTAATGCCATAACCATACTGCTTTCACCACAAGGCAGAGTATACTCCACTCAGCAAGACCTGGAAAGCCACATATCTGATTTATACTCATCCCTATTTTCATCTGAAGGCAGTTGGGGTGGGGACTCTATCCTTCCTCTCATACCTAAGACCATAACTCCTGACATGAATAAGGAGCTGCTCAAACCAATTGAGGAGGATGAAGTCAAACAGGCTTTATTCAGTCTACAACCTAACAAGTCCCTAGGTGAGGATGGAATGACAGCAACCTTCTACCAGCACAACTGGAGCTTAATAAAATCTGAATTCATGAAAGTTGTCCATAGTTTCTTCCACTCAGGTACAATGCTTAAATACTGGAATCATACAGTCATCACTTTGATTCCTAAGTGTTTAAACCCAGACTATTTGAGTCAATATAGGCCCAATAGCCTTTGCAGTGTTATTTATAAAGTTATTTCCAAGCTTCTTGCTCAAAGACTCAAAGCATGCCTTAAGTTCTGTATTAGTGACCACCAAGCTGCATTCATTGAGGGAAGACAGTTAGCTGACAATGTCATCATTGCTCAAGAAGCCTTTTATTTTTTAAACAGACATTCTTCAGGCCCTCATTGTTTCATAGCTCTTAAATTAGATCTCATAAAAGCTTTTGACCGTGTTGAATGGCAATGCATCAAGAAGATTATGATTCAAATGGGTTTCCACTGTGACTTTGTGAGACTTTTATTGCTCTGTGTGTCCACTGCTACCTTCCCTTTCAAAGTTAATGGTTCTATTTGTGGTTATGTGTCACCTACTTGGGGAATAAGGCAGGGGGACCCTTATCCTCCTACCTTTTCATCATTGTTGCTGAACTCCTGACTACTCTTACCCTCAACTTTATAAATGCTAATCAGCTGAAAGGGATGAAACTGTGTAGAAATGGTCCTGTGCTCTCTCACCTGCTCTTTGCAGATGACTCATTGTTCTTTTGCAAAGCTGGTTCTGATCAAGTAGGGTATCTCATGAATATTTCTTGAGAAGTATAGACTCTTTACTCGGCAAGCAGTGGACCTCCAGAAGTGTGCAATCTTTTTCAGCAGAAACACACCTCCTCATCTCAAGACTACCATCTGCAGCACTTTGAATGGTATTGTCTCCCACAGGTCCACCAGATATCTTGGCCTTCCTTTGGGAATTGGCAGATCAAAAAAGGATTTCTTTGAATATTTACTTTCCTCTGTCAGATCAAAACTAACCTCCTGGAAAGCTAAACTCCTCACACCTGCAGGCAAAGAGGTTCTCCTTGAAGCTGTTATCCAGGCACTACCAGTCTTCACTATGGCCTGTTTTACTATTCATGTCTCTCTTTGCAAAGAAATTGCTAGACTGTGTGCCAAATTCTGGTGGAAATCTGGAACAGCCCAATCTCAAGGCATACACTGGAAGCAATGGAGTCATCTCTCATTTCCAAAAGAAAAAGGTGGTTTGGCCTTCCATAATCTGCAGACCTTCAACAAGGCTCTCATTTGCAAACAATTGTGGAGGATAGTATTCAACCCTAATCTCCTGGTTAGTAAACTCCTCAAAGACAGGTACTTGCCTAACTCTTCTCTAGTTCATGCCACTAAAACTCAAAGTGGCTCATGGATGTGGAATTGCTGGATGGAAGTCCTACCTGTTTTTGCTAAGTGGCTCAAAATTGAAATCAGAAGTGGCAGTACAACAAGAATTTCAGATCTTAACTGGATTCCTAACCACCAGAAATCTGCTCCTGAGCTTATACCAATAGCTAGAGGCCACTTAATTTGGGTTAAAGAGCTCATGCAGAACAATGGCACACAATGGAATGAATGGCTGGTCAAGCAAGTTTTTGATGAAGAGGACAGTGCTGCTATTCTTAAAATCTCCACCATTAATCCTCTTAGACAGGACAGAATCTTCTGGGGCTTAGACAAGAAGGGCACTTTCTCAGTTTCAACTACCTATGCCTATCACAACTCCCTCAGAATTCTTGCTATTGACTTACCAGAATGCAACTCATCCTCAGAAACCAAACCATCAGTCAAATTCAGACATTGGAAGATTAAAGTTGCTGGTAAAGTCAAACACTTTATATGGAAATGAATCACAACCACTCTACCTGTGGCTACTCAGCTAAAAAGAAGAGGACTTGAACTGGACACAACATGCTCAATCTGTGGGGAAGCTGCTGAAACAATAGAACACCTGTTTTTCTCATGCCCTAGAGCCAGAAAAGTGTGGCAGCTAAGCCCTTTGCAGTGGGATGGTATTATTGGATTCATTGACTCTTTCAAAGCTTGGTAGTACCAAGTCTGTTCTCTGGACCATTCTGAAGTGGCCGAAGTTAGAATTCAACTAACAACTTACATGCTTTGGTGGCTTTGGAAGTTCAAGAACTTATGGCTCTTCCAACACTCCTTGATCCCTGAGCACACCCTCATCAGTTTGGCTAAATCAGATTGGGCTGACTTCTCTTTAGTTTCTTAGCTTGTTGTTTTCTCTTGTAGTTTCTTGCTTTTCTGGCTAGTTTTAGTGTAGAGCTCCTTGCTAGGCCTTTGGGGCAATGGCTGGAGTCTCTACACCTTGTGTTTTGGTGGTTTCTAGTTTGTATGTTGGACTGTTGGTTTGTTGTTTGTTGATTTCTAGCATGTATTTTGGGTAGGTTGTTTGTTGCTTGTTGAGGCTCTAAATCGCTTCTAGCGTGTCTTTCATTTTTATTTTTTTCGGACTCCTTTGGACCATTGTATTCGAACTTTGTTCGCTTGAGATTTATAATAGTNAGGAAAAAAAAAAAAAAAAACAAAAATAAAATAAATATTCATAAATGTACTTCCTATACACTGCCTTATTACGCCAAAAAAAGGGCAAAGACAAACAGGGGCTTTCTGAAGGGCTGCCCTACCCAGTCAAAATTCACAACAGCTAAAAGGTGAAATTTGGTCACCCAACAAAAGTTACTTCTCAGATTCCGGAATAGCCAAAAGCTAAATTATTTTCGCGATTATCAGTACACAAGAACAGAACATGGAGTTAGTAATACAAAAGGTGATTGATGTACTAATCTAAGCAGCAGATTCTTTGGCAATCTTCTCGGCTTTAGCAATAACCTCGTCAATACCTCCAACCATGTAGAACGACTGTTCTGGAAGATCATCGTATTTTCCGTCCAAGACTCCCTATTGCAAATAACCACGTCAATACCTCCAACCAGAAAGACATTATGTGGACTCAAAAACGTTTTTGCAAATGACAGGACAAAATAGTTTCTTAACTATCTCTAAACCAAATCAGCTCACTGCAAATGAGTAAAACCGCGATCGAACTTTTTTATTGTCATATTAAGCAGCTCGCATGAAACTTCGTCTATAAGGAACGTGTCAGCTTATTAGCTTAACTGGAGCTTCAATTAAACTCTTCCACACATACCATCATCATGCACACAAATATTTCAGGCACATTTGACCACACAGATACACTTTCTTTGTAAAATAAGAAATTTGATACCTGGAAGCTGCTAATACTCTCCTTCAACTCAACATACTTCCCAGGGGCACCCGTGAATACTTCTGCAACATGGAAAGGCTGGCTCAGAAAACGTTGGATTTTCCGAGCACGGGCAACTGTTAATTTGTCGTCTTCACTTAGCTCATCCATTCCGAGAATAGCAATAATATCCTGAAGATTCTTGTAGTTCTGTAGAACCTTCTGCACACCACGTGCAGTGTTGTAGTGCCCCTCTCCCAGGATATGAGGGGAAAGCATGCGGGATGTTGAGTCCAAAGGGTCCACGGCAGGATAGATACCAAGTTCAGAAATCTGTACCAAAACAACATCAAATAAAAATGTCGTTAATTACAATTTTTATTCCAAGAGGCTCATTCCAGTGGTAATATATGTACGTGGGTGTATATATATGAAATAAAACTTAAGTCCATGAGAGTATTCTTTTGACAAATAACCCATACTGAGACTACGATTCGTATAATAGTAACATAGAAAAACTGGGGTATATATACTAATATTTCACCTGTCTGGATAACACAGTTGTAGCATCCAAGTGAGCGAATGTAGTAGCGGGAGCAGGATCAGTCAAGTCATCAGCAGGCACATATATGGCTTGCACAGATGTAATAGAACCCTTCTTAGTCGTAGTAATACGCTCTTGAAGGCCTCCAAGATCTGTAGCCAGAGTAGGTTGATAACCGACAGCCGATGGAATACGCCCAAGCAAAGCAGATACTTCTGAGTTAGCCTGCAAAAGTTTACACATAAGGATTAGATTACCAGTTTGTGAAACAAGCTCCAGAAAAGTAAACGAAAATAGATGCCATGAAATGAAACCCCTACTTGGGTAAAACGAAAAATGTTGTCAATGAAGAGAAGCACATCCTGTCCTTCTGCATCCCGGAAATGCTCGGCCACAGTCAATCCAGTGAGTCCAACACGAGCACGAGCACCTGGGGGTTCGTTCATTTGACCGTAGACTAGAGCGCATTTGCTATCAGCCTGACAAGCAGTAAAGAAAACTGAGATGAAGAGTACAAATAATAATAATAATAATAATAATAATATAATAACAGTGAATAATAAATTTAAAGGATGCTTACCTGCTTATCACCTAGCTTTATAACACCACTCTCAATCATTTCTCTGTATAGATCGTTGCCCTCACGAGTACGTTCTCCTACACCGGCAAAGACAGAGAAACCACCTGACCAAGGAAAATAACAAACAGAGTGAGATCACAGTGAGCTAGGCACAGTATTGATTTGTGAATCAAGTATCAAAACAAGAACCAAACCGTGGGCTTTAGCCACATTGTTGATAAGTTCCATTATAAGAACAGTCTTCCCAACACCAGCACCGCCAAAAAGGCCAATCTTTCCCCCTCTCTGATATGGAGCAAGAAGGTCGACAACCTGCCATAAGAATATTGCAAAACAAGAAGAAAAAAAAGAAATTAAAAACCAACAAGAAACTGAGTGATCATGAGTGGAGTGGGCAAGTTAGCTAGAGATAACAGGGAACCTCAAAAAGGACCAACAAGAAAGTACCTTGATACCAGTCACAAGAATTTGTTGTTCTGTAGCTTGCTCCACAAAGGCTGGAGCTTCACGGTGAATGGGTAAAAAGTGTTCCGTCTCTGCATCATCATTCACTTGTAAGTACAACTTCAACCAACCTCCAATTACTAAAAGACTGTTCTTTAATGAACCAAAACAATACTACTTACTAATATCCCCTTTCTCGTCAATAGGCTCTCCAATGACATTGATAATGCGACCAAGAGTAGCTCTACCAACAGGCACCTAAAATTAAAACGAGCTGAAATGATATCAATCAAACAAACTTGGTGGTGGGATAAATCAAAAAGAAATTCAAAAACAACCAAAGGGGCTGAAACCAGTACCAATCTTGGTAACATATACAGAAGGCATATAATCCAAGTATCCTCATTCCATAAATCCCATAATACAGGCACAGTTAGAAGAAACAAATACAATATAAGAAAGTACCTACTGGCAGGAAGTCCAAATGCTGGAATTGAAGGAATCACGTCATCATTAAACTCAGACTGAAACAATTTATTTGTCTCAACAATGTCATCATTAAACTCAGACTGAAGCAATTTATTTGTATCAACAATTTAAAATGCACGACACCTCTTCACTAGAAACCAGTAAGGTAGCAGTGTTATGACAATTGGAGACAAAAATGGGATCATATGCAAAATTGCAAATAAGTGAACAAACAAAAAGAAGTGATTGACTTTTGCAAAATTAACCAATTGGTAAGTTTTTATTTCAGACATAGCAAGCCCAATCTCAAACTAAGAAATTAACGATCGAGTAGGAAAATAAGACTTGACACACCAAATCAAAACATTCAAGATTAGAAACAAATAGCAGATGAAAGCGTTCAACGAAGGCATAAAACAAAATCGAAGAAACGCTAATCACATGGAACTCACAGTGATTGGCGACCCAGTGTTGAGGACGCGCTGGCCTCTAACCAGCCCTTCAGTACCATCCATAGCAATACACCTCACCACATTTTCCCCCAAGTGCTGAGCTACCTCCAGTACAAGTCTGATCTGATTATCCAAGACCTCCAGCGCCGTCAAAATAGGGGGCAAACCCTCGTCGAACCTCACATCAACGACGGCGCCGATAACCTGGCACACCTTCCCGATGGCGCCTTGACCGGTAAACTCATCTGTAATTTTTCCACCGAGACCGCCGCCAGGTGCCGTCTTGGAGGGCGGAGGTTCCGCCGCAGCTGCTGATGTAGCGTAGTGAGAAGCGAAGCGATGAAGAAAATGACCGGTCGGGGACGGCCGGGGACTTCTCTTCGGAGCTGAACAAAATGGAGATCTAGGGCGGCGAGCGGCGGAAGAACGGAGAAATGAAACTAGGAGCCTCCGAGAAGCCATGGGTGAAAAGCAGATTTGGATGGAAAGAACGAAAATGGTAAAATTGAAACGACGGAGATAGGGTTGTTTTATTTTGGAAAACTAACTGATAACTACTTAGCAGCTCGTAAGTTAATTTATAGTTTATCAGTAATTTTTTTAATTTATAATTGAAAAATTAATTTATATGATAAAAGTATTTAGTAAAATTAGCTGATAAGTTTCAACGAGTTTATTTGAAAAACTAGCCAAACAAGCTTATCAAATAAGCTCGAGCTTTGTAAAAAAGTTCATTTTACCAAACAAAACTTATTTAAAAACATGAAATTTATAAGTTAACCAAATAAACTATAAGCTATCTTATTCATGAAACTTATAATAAACTATAAGTTATCTTATTTATCTACTAAACATAACATAGGCTACAGACTCTAGAAAAAGTGGGGGAGTGGGGACTGGAGTGTTATTTTTACCGTGATTTATTTTTGTTTACAGTAAGGTAAAGGAGGGTCGTGTGCTTGAAAATATGCGGTGCTGTCGGGTTAATATTGGTTTGGGAGATCAAAAAAGGTATTGGAATTTGGATTTGGATGTAGAGTTTTTATTGGTTTTCATTCGATTATTGTATGTCATACATGAACTATATACTAATTATTAGATTCTTTAATCATATTAAAAATGAAATTATTTATACAAATAATATAAGCTTTTATTTAATTTGACAAAGCATTAAAATATTTTATATCTATATATATTTATATATATATATAAAGATTTGATTATTTTTTAAATAGTAACTATTTCCCTCTACAAAAAATCTATTTATTGTTTCAGAAATTAATTTAACAATTTATGCTATGTTTCAAATAATCACTTATGGAAATTGCGGCTCATTATTTAAGTAAATAATTAAGACATAAAAAATTATTTTTAAGATACATTAATTACTCAAATCATGTGACTTTGATTGATTTACCCAAATATGTGAATTTCGGCTGCAATATCAATTATGTGATTTGGTAAAAAAATTCTAACTAATTGTGTAATTTATTATTTAATAAGTGTTTTATATTTTTCATGTAATTCTTTTGTGATATGCATTTTTAATATACCTTAATTACGCAAATTGTGTAAATCCGACTGATTTTTTCAATCTGCAAATAATTAGTACAATTATGGAAATATCGACAACAATAATCAATCATGCGATTTGCAAAAAAAACTGTTCTATAAAATTGTGTTAAGGAGAATTTTTATTTAAATATTGTTTAATACATGTTTTTCATTTTTTGCGTATTATGTAGGAGAATAATTAGTACATTACCTATTTTATAACAAAAGATATGATCGAATTAGGAAGGCCGCTCTAGCTGTTTTTGGTCCTTTTGGCAGCAATTATATTTCTGACTTTTGAACCATTTTCCATCTTGAGCATGCTCGTAAGTGTTTGATGTCTTCATAAAAATTTTAGATGTGCGTATTCAGTTTGTTTTGGAATTGGAATCGATTCAATAAATATTCTCTAACCGAAGTTATGATTGTAATAAGAATATTGTCCATGAACTAATGAAAGATAATGGGAATGAACTTTGCCTTTCATCATTATTTGTTAAAATTGTATTCAAGTTGTTTAATTAAGATAATTCCTTTAATTCGAGTCGAGTCATCTATTAAGTCAAGTTACATTGCATTGTAGGACACATTCATTTTACGATAGGAGCATCCAAGCATGAGCATTGTTTCAAGTCATTACACGAGCTACTATTTGATGTGGGGATATTCTTACTATGCGATTATTATTTTTAATCGCAAACTATAGTAATTATTGATATGCTAACCAAGCCTTCAGGCAAAGTTGACGTGTGGCCTTTGGACTGTCACCGTTACAAGTATATGGCCTTCGGGCAAAGTTGACGTGTGGCCTTTAGGCTGCCACCTCTATGAACATATGATGGTTGAAATATATGAGATTAGATTGAATAACTGCGCAGTTTGATTTCCCTACTGAGTCGTTCCGTACTCATCCCACCATTAACATTTTTAGGTCAGGAGCTCAGTGATGTGCTGGCGACGGACAGAGTTAAAATTCTTTATCTCGTCACATGTCATTTCTTTATTATTATGAAAATACTTAATTATGTGTATTTTAAGAAGTTATACAAAAGCCATATGATGGGATTTTAAACATTTTGAGTTGAGCACTGTGAAATAAAATATTTTATTGTTTGAAATGGTTATAAAAATATGAATATGTTGTAATGATTGTATCTGATTTAAAGGAACTTATGATGTTACGTTTCCCAATAATTAGTTCTTTTCATTTATTTTCGTTTCAGTGTATAACTCAGTATAATAGTTATACTTTTATTATAAATCTTTTATTAGTGCGCAACGATAAGTGTTGAAATACTTTTGTTGTCAAAATTAGAATGTTGATTTTTTTTTTTCTCAAATATTGTTCAAATTCAGTTAACTCCTCTTTAGAATGTCATATTTACTTTTTGAAAATTGGGGTGTTTCACTAGCATATAATCTTTAGTCCTTCACAATTGCTTGATTGTATTCTTCACCCACAAACCAATGTGTCTGTCCAGGGTTACGTATCTACTATATGCCAATCGAAAAGTAGATTTTCAGCTTCGTACATACCATTGCATACATGAGGCTTCCTATAGTTGATGTGTAAGGAATCACTTTCATGTCCTCTGTCTCTTGTTTTGCCTTTGAACACACATCCTTAGATAGAGTAATTTCTTGCCGTAAAGGAAGATATCCTCTCTCGAATTCGGCATGTTAAAATGTGCCAGGACAATATCTATGTATGAAGCTTGGGATAAACATTGAATTATTTTCTTACGATCCCTATTACTTTGATCCTAAGAATATGCATTGTATCTCCTAAGTCCATCATATCAAACTGCTTGGATACCATACCTTTACGTTAACAACACCTTCATACGGTTGCCAATGAGAAGTATGTCATAAACGTACAGTACAAGAAACACCACCACATTGTACTTGGGATCTTAGTATGGCCTTCTGGGTTGATTTGCACTTGGGATCATTTGATCTGCCGGTTGTAACCTCTATTTTGTTATATGAGATAATTCTATCGCTTTGGGAAAAAAAAAAAAAAAAAAAGAAAAAAAAGAAAAAAAACCACCACATTCAGACTTCTTGTACACACATTGCTCTTCCGGACTTTGAGTGAATCCATAGAACTAGATTACCTCATCGAATCAGATATTTCGATACCTTGAAGCTTGATTTAGTCCATAAGTGAACTTCTTTAGCTTACAAACTAGGTGCTCTTGGGCTTTCACAAAGAAACCCTCGGGTTGCCGCATATAGATGTTTTCCTCAAAACTTATGTTAAGGAAAGTTGTCTGACATCAACTTATCAAACCTCATAATCCATATGAGCGGGAAATGACCTGAAGAATCCGGATAGACTTAAGCATGACTATTGGCAAAAATATATCTCATAATCGAATCCCTCTTTATGAGTATAGGTAATCTAGGAAATCTAGTACACAATCATTTGTTTTATTAAATATCTAAACCATGATACATTAATGTCAACCTGTATGTAATTCATCATTTTGCAATAAAATATAATACAAAATAAATGACTTCTTAATCCTTCATTTTTGTTATTTCATATTACAAGAAAAATAAAATATATCTTACTCCACAAATTCAAATAACCTCTCCCTTGCTTTGACCGCCTGCATAATCAAAGTTTAACGAGATATCAATGCATTTTTATGATAGTAAAACATCAAGAATACGATCACAAGCTCTGAAAACTTATAGCGTTGAAGTTCATTATTATACAAGTATATAAAGGGAACATCTGCATAAAAGGACGCAAGAAAGTCAAAAAGAAGAACCTCTTTTTCCCAATTTGTGCAGAAAGTTAAGGCAGAGAGCATAATTGTTTGCATGGTTGCGCCACAAAGTATCCCTGCCCATAGACCTTTTGCTGTAAAATTTAAGTAGAAACCTAAAACGGCTGCAATTGGAACCCCAAAAAGATAAAATGCTGAAAGATTAATGTATGCCCCGATATGCTGCCACCCACAGCCCGTCGCAACGCCTGAAAAATGAACAACAATAATAGGCCTCAATGATTAATATAGTGTTTGCTATAAGTGAAAGCAAGTAGCAATGGAAAATTCATGTTATTCACGAGAAATTTAACTTAATAGTTTTTTTTCTTAAAAAAAACATAATTTTATTTTAGAAGCTTGTTAAACTTTATATTGTTTTTAGGAGAGAGGGGATTTGATTGGAGTGAAAAGAAGTAAGCAAAACCTGAAAGGGTCCCTTGGAGAGTGTCTATGATCACAGATAGACAAATGAGGGGCGTCATGTTGGTTACATAGTCCACGACCTCTCTCTCGCTGCTAAAAATGTAGCCAAAAACGTGTCGGCTCGCAAAGAGGCTTGCACTTGCCACTAGTGCATTAATGGCCGCAAGAAGCATTAGAGCAATCACAGAAACACGAGCTCCTTCTGGCTTCCCGGCTCCTAATTCGTTGGATATTCTTGTGCTACACATTTAAGAAAAATAAGAGTACGCAACTTATGGAAAATAAAAGAAAAATATTAATTAATATCACATGCAAGAAAATTGAAGAACTACAATTGAGCAACGATTGTGTACCTTGCTGCAGCAGCTAATCCATTTGGAACTGAATAAAGTGTAGCTATGGTGTCCAGGCTGTGTACGTAAGGCATAACAAATAGTTGAGTGAGTTGTAATTAGTGTTGAGAAAGTAAATATTGCAAGTACAGAATATATAATATGGATATTGAAGAATGCACACCATATGGAGAGCACAGAGGTTTCAAGTTGTGGATTTGGTAGAATCCCCGAGACCAATATGACCAGCTCAAACGACCACCATTCGAGACTACAGATGGACGGTTTTCAAACATCATTCAAAGAATAATGTTAGGATACTTATCATGATACAACAATGGATCAAGAAACTAACATGTTAATGAATTCCTTCAATAGACTTTTGCTTTTGATGAAATGAAGTAACTAAAAAATATTTGAAAAATGAAAATTCATTTGTGAAGATGAAAATTAAACTTATTATTCAAAATAATAAGAAAGTAGCAGCACAACATCATTTACTTGCGAGCATAAGGGGAAAAAAATATTACATTACCAAATCATAACAGCAGAAGGAA